CCCCAAATTTTTGGCTGCAATAGCCAGGGCTAGGCCCAACTGAAGCCAGGAGCCAGGAATTCCATCTGGGTCTCCCTTGTGGATGGCAAGGGCCCAAGCACGTGGGCTCTCATCGGCTGCTGTCTTAGGCATGTTAGCAGGGAGCTGGAGCAGAAGCAGAGCAGCCAGGACTCAGCTGGCGTTCCAGTGTGGGATGTCAACATCACAGGCAGCAGCTTAACCCACCGCACCCCAACATCAGCCCCAGGATCTATGGGATTCTGTGTAGAAAGTGAATGAGGGGGGACTATGCATGGGCCAGTGTCCTGTGTGCAGTGGCAGATGAAGAGTGACACCAAGGAATGGGGTGTCAGAGGAGGACAGAGCCAGTGATCCACAGTGTGGACAGCATGTGGCTGGACGGAAGGCAGGGAGGAGAACCCCGTGACCCCCTGGGAGTCACCCTCCTTATTCATTTTCCTGTTCCTTTTGGACAAACCTCTTGCGGGGAGGGATGGCCTTGGTCTGCTTTTTTTTTGCCAGGTGGCTGCAGTTGATGATTGGAATTGCAAATATGAGAAACTCTTGGAGGACATGGTTTGTGTCCATCAGCCCGGCTCTGGCAAGTATCAAGCCAGTGCTGGCCCTGGCAAGTATCAAGCCAGTGCGACTGGTGATGTCCTTTACCGGGAAGGGAGAGGTGGACCCCTGCCGGCTCTCTGCTGGGAGTCTGGCTTTTCTCTCTGATAACAGCCAGGCCGGAACCTTGAAGTGCAGCAGCTGCTGGCCTGCTGTTCTCTCTGCTGTTCCCTTCCCTGGAGGTGCCTCCTCCTCTCCACCCTGGGGTCCTGGGGAAGCTGGGAAGCAGTGACCCCTGTGTAGGGCTTGGCAGCCCATCTGAGGGTTTCCCTTCCAAGACAGAGCCCCGGGGACCCTGGCGGAGGCTGCATCTGGGAATGCAAGGACCTTTCCGGTCTGGAAGGCAGTCAAGGGGGGCTTTGGGAGGAGGAGTCCTTCAGGGCTGTGTGAGGCGGGCTCCCTAGCAGGTGGGTGGAGAATGGGGTAGACCTGACAGGGACATTTGCCAGGGCTCATTGGGTGTGGGAGTGGGTTTTGAACAGCTAAACTCCTTCAGAGTGTCCTTCGTGGTCATAAATCCTAGGAGAAAGGAGCTGGTTTTCTTCCTCTGATAGCTGCCGGTTTCAGCAGAGATGTGGAAATGAAACGCTCACCCTGGGAGAGATGGCTTGTCTCAAGGGCAGCATGAAGGAGGCATCCAGTTGGTTTCAGCTGAAATGAAATCGTTCGCTGGCCACCTGGAGGAGATACGGAAGTAGAGATCCATGGGTTAAAGCCAGACCCTTCCCCCTCAGGGTCCGTTTGCTTCTCCTAGCCCTTGGAACTCTTCATGGTCTGGACACCCCTTATCTTGCAGAGTCTCCCTCAGTTTAGGACTAGGATTTCAGGGCTGGTGCTGTGGCTGTGGCGTAGGTTAAGCCTCCGCCTGTAGCACTGGCATCCCATGTGGGCATCAGTTGGAGTCTTGGCTGCTCCTCTTCCAATGCACCTCCCTGCTAATGTGCCTGGGAAAGCAGTGGAAGATGGTCCAAGTGCTTGAGCCCCTGTACCCATGTAGGAGACATGGAAGAAGCTCCTGGCTCCTGGCTTCAGCCTGGGCCAGCCCCACCATTGTAGCCATTTTGAAAATTCATTCTCTCACTCACTCTTTCTCTCTGCCTTTCAAATAAATGAAAACTTAAAAAAAAAAAAAAAACACAACAACAACAACAACTAGGATTTCCCCCGTCTTGCCCTGACTTTGGGTAGTCAAGGCTAGCAACTTTGAAAGCTTCACTTTTAAGGAGGCTTTCTCTTTCCCTGATGGCTTTTCTTTGTCTGGTTGAACTTTGTGTGTGTGTGTGTGTGTGTGTGTGTGTGTTTTCAGTTGAAAGACAGAAAGATCTCACATTCACTGTGAGATGCCCACACCAGCCCATGGCTGGGCCAGTCTGAAGCCAGGAGCTGGGAACTCAATTCAGGGCTTTCCAATTGATGTCAGGAACCCAAGCTCTTGAGCTGTTACCCCCAGGGTGTACATTAGCCTCCCAGTGTGCATTAGCAGGAAGCTAGAACCAGAAGAGGAGCCAGGACTTGAACCAAACACTCAGATACAGGATGCAGGCATCATAACAACCATGTCAAATGCCTACTCCTGAACTTCATTGATCGTGACTAAAGTGTAACTCTGAAGCAATTACATCCATCTTGATTGATGATGTAGCGTATATTACATGAGCAGCCCCTGTTTACATTGGCATAAGTTATGGCTGCCTAGCTTCCAACAGATTCTAGAAAACATTCCTCGGGACCAGCATTGTGGCACGATGGGTAAAGTCACAGCCTGCAATGCCAGCATCCCATATGGATGCCCGTTCAATTCCTGGCTGCTCCACTTCTGATCCAGCTCTCTGCTAATGGCCTGGGAAAGCAGCAGAAGATGGCCCAAGTGTTTGGGCCCTGTGAGAGACCTAAAGAAGCTCCTGGCTTCCGGGCCTGACCCAGCCCTGGCCATTGAGGCCATCTGGGGAGTGAACCAGTGGATGGACGCTCGTTCTCTGTCTCTCAATCTTTCTCTTATCTCTGTCTTTCAAATAAATAAATAAATCTTTAAGGAAATAGGAAAGACAGCATTCCTTGCCTTTGGTTTGTGGAAAAGTCAAGCTTTGCTGATGAAACACCTACAACAATAACAGACCTGGGGGCCGGAGCTGTGGCGTGGCAGGTGAAGCTGCTCCCTGCAGTGCTGGCATTCCATTTGGGCACTGGTTCGAGTCCTGGCTGCTCCACTTCCAATCCAGCTCTCTGCTATGGCCTGGGAAAGCAGTAGAAGATGGCCCAAGTCCTTGGGCCCCTGCATCCATGTGGGAGACCTGGAGGAAGCTCCTGGCTCCTGGCTCTGGATTGGCTCAGCTCCTGTCATTGCAGCCAGTTGGGGAGTGAACCAGCGGATGGAGTGTCTCTCTCTCTCTCCCCCCGCTTCCTTCTCCCACTCCCTTCTTCCCTCCCTCACTCCCTCCCTTCCTCTCTCTCCTCCTCTCTTTGTGTAACTCTGACTTTCAAATAAATAAATACATCTTTAAAAAACAAAGCAAACAATAACAGACCTCTCTGACCCGCTGTCTCTCACTTTGATGTTAAGCCTGAGTCTCTCTTGTCCTATCCACAGAGCTCTACTTTGAAATTAAGCCTCGAAAGGAAAAATGAGCCTTAGAAGAGAGCTAGAGCAGCATTTGGGGTGACTTAGGACATAACCCAAGGAGGGTGACGCTCCTTCCTTGCCGCGGTCTTCGGTGACATGGGGGGTTCCTCCCTTAGCCTCCCTGTGGCTGGCTGGCGATGGCGCGGGTCAGGGAATAGCGCTTCGCAGAGGCACGCTCTCTGTGAGGCCCCAGGGCCCTGCAAAACGTGAAGGGAGTGTGGTTAGCGAGAGAGGCCATCTCGGAGTCCCAGCGGAGCATCTTCTCGGGGTGATCCGGTACTGCCAGCACACTGAGGGGGGCAGGGCGCTGGACAGAGGTCGGGGCAAGCATCCGGCTGGAAACAGGAGAACGAGTGGGATGTTAAAGAATGATTCTTTAGGACCTGGGTGTTGCATGTGCGGCCGATCCAGGCTCCTGGTGTCTGTCTCCCTCCCTCCCTCTCCCCTTCTCTCTCCTCATCTGGCTCCCACATTCCCAGGCTGCCTCTGGGAACCTCCCCACCCCACCGAGGTCCTGAGCTTGCCCCTGCCGCAGATGCAGTGAGGAGAGCTCCTGGCCTTTGCTCCTTGGCACCGGCAGCATCAAGCATAATGTGGAAGGCGGCTCGGCGAATTGGCTGGTTGGCGTCCAAGTGAATGTACGAATGGCGTTACAAGCAGTCAACACCTAGCCGTCAAGATGAGCTGACCCGGCTGGAACCGGCTGCAGTGCTGTTTTGGAGGCTTTGAGAACTGACGGGCTTTGCCAGGCGGTCACGGAGCTTCTCGAGGGGCCGCCCTGGCAGTGGGGGAGGGGTCCCGGGGGCCAGGAAACTGGAGCGAAGTTCAAAACAAGGCTTCTTCAAAACGTTCACAGCAAATGCCATTAGGAAGAAAACCATGCATGGATTTCAAAATTTTTTTTGCGCCCAAATAAAACTATTGTTCAACTGAACTTTTTTTTTTTTTTCTACAAGCTTTTCCAAGTTCCCTAGTCTAGAAGCATCGAAGTAGATGGGGAAGATAGGGACCGTTAAATAGTCGGACGAAGATGCGGCATGAGCCTGGGCCACGTCACAAATGCCCTGGGATGAAATGCTCAGGAGTAGGTAGGGTGGCCTAGTGGTGTGGGGCATGGACTTGGAGGCTGACTGGCCTGCCCCTTACGTCCCTTCTGACCTTGGGCTCATCTGCTGGCCCCTGGATCTCTGGTTCCCCTGCCCAGGAACCATGGAAATCCCTGGATGTGACACAGTGCCTGGGAAGGAAGAGAGAGAACAGGAGGAAGGGCTTTTGATCAGCTAGTGCCTAAGACAGAGTCTGGCCATAGTGGGCGTGTCAGAGATGGCAAAATAAACAGGTTAGTGAGTGATCCAGACGGGAGCGGCTGACGCCCCAGTGCTGAATCAGGGCCGTTACTCTGGGGATGGATGAGTTAATTCTGCTTGGTGCTCTTAGCCCTGAGAGTGGTTTGCGTGAGAGAGATTTAACACCTTTTAAAAATAGTTTTATTGCTTTAACATACGTTTTACCTACACATATTTCAGATCGAGTGTTGACCTAAATTGGTAGGAGGTGCTGGTCATAGTAAATAATAGCGCTTATAAAATTTTATCTGTAAAGTGAAGAAGACATTTTTAAAAGACTGTGTTGGCAGCAGCTCGGAGAAATTCTGAGAAAGGGAGGAATCCTTTGCACTTGGTGATGCTTTGCCTGCATTCAGGTTTTTTCATCTTCTGTTTATTTTTTTAAGGAGGTTTCCTGTATTTTTTTTTTCCCGCAGTTGAACACTTTCCAGGCAGTGTTGGTGTCTGATGAGTCTGATGCCTACGCCCTCTTTCTGTATCCTGCCAATGGCCTTCAGTTCTTTGGAACTCGCCCCAAAGAGTCTTACAACGTCCAGCTCCAGCTGCCGGCTCGGGTGGGCTTCTGCCGCGGGGAGGCCGATGACCTCAAGAGAGAAGGACAGTATCTCAGCTTGACCCGCACCGAGCAGTCTGTGAAAAATCTCTACCAGTAAGTGATGTGGGCGGAAGGCTTCCCTGACCGAATAGGGGGGCTTTTAGGAGGTACCCAAACGCAGGTGCCACGAGACCATTAAAGGATACCACGATGACCTCTAAGCAAGGTGTCAGGGCAAAACCAGGAATGAAATTGGACCCTGGAAGGTTCAAATTCTCCAGAATATAAAAGGCCCTGTTTTTCCTGCCCTGTTGGGTGTAGATACTAGAAATATAGCAGTGTGTGTATGTTTGCAGAGCTACTGAGGCTTGCTATAAAAAAAAACATTGCTCTTGCAACCACATAAAAATATCCAGTGATGTAACTGCCTGGGTTGAGGCTAAGTTAATCATTTCATAGGAGGAAACATTGAGATTTAATCTTTTACTTTTAATTTTTAAAAATTTATTTATTTGAGAGATGGAGGCAGGAGAGAAGGGGAGAGAGAGAAAGAAAGAGAGAGAAAGAGAGAAGGCTCACATCCTCTGGTCTGTTCCCTAAATGCCCACGGTGGTCAGGCTCAGGCCTGGCCAAAGCCACGAGGTGGGAACTCAGTACGAGTCTCCCATGCGGGTAGCAGGAATGCAAATATTTGAGCTGTCACTGCTGCCTCCCAGGATCCACATTAGTGGGAAGCTAGAATCAGGAGAAAGAGCTGGGGTTGAACCCAAGCGCTCCCAGTGGGCTGTGAGTGTCCTGACTGGTGGCCTAACCACACTGGGTTACATGCTTGTCCCTGATTGACACTTTCATCAAAGCAGGGTGTGAGGCCAGTGCCCAGCACAGAGGTGCTGTTCCGGCTTCTAGCAGGGTTCCCATGAATGCGCTGCTGGCTTTGCAGATGAAGCTCCCCAGATTCCCCACAAGGCGAGAGACTGGCTTTGGGGCATCTGCTGCCTTGCCACTTTCTGGAGGAACTTGAGCCTCTGTTTGGAGCTCTGCTGCAGGGGTGTGGCTGGCCAGGCATCTGAGTGACACTGACCTCATGGCATCTCAGCTAGGGATGCAGACAAGCAGTCGCACGCAGTCCCTGTGCTTTACTCGAGCCTTCCAGATGCAGAGCCCACGTCTGTGATCACCACGGGACGGGCCGATGGCAGCGGAAGGTCGATGCAGAGGGCGCCTCCCTTCTCCTGCTTGGTTTCCTTTGCTCCTTAAGTCTGCTGGGAGCTTGGTTCTGTGGTCAGCAGGGACGATTCAGCTAAAGGGTTGCCTCTGCCTTCTAAGTTCTCGAACTACTGCAGGGGATGCCCCATGCTCTTGCCCTGGGGAAGAACAATGGCATCTTAACAATGAACAAATTACAAAGACGTCTAACGTGAAGCAAAGACTGCATACGAAGACAACAAAAATTAAGAGTTATGTAATGATGGACAAAGGTAAAACTGGTTGGTAGATTTTTAGAAGTCTCGGTATTTCTCCGTGGCTTCATGCTGTGGACTCAGTCGTCCTGACTGGCTTGCCATGAGACAGCCAGAACTGACCCTGTTCCCTAGTTCCGGCGGTGGCTTACTTACGCTGTTGGTACAATAATGAGCACCTTACCGTTTGTCAGTCCGGATCATGCCAGTGTGATGTTGCTTAACTTCCGGGTCTTGGCTTTCACTCGTTTGCTAAATACTGGTCCAGGAGCCAGACAGATAGCTTGGCTACTTCTCGGCCCCCTGAACTACTTCTCAGCTGCTTTGGATCACCCCTTACCCTGGTGATGCCATCTGTTTGGCCCGGCTGCTGGAGGGTGGGCACTGAAGCCAGGTGGGGTGCTCAGAGCTGGCATTTATGGAGAGCTGACTGTCTACCAAGCATTTCCCCAGAGACTTCCCGCTTGGTATTTTCATGACAGTGCACAGGATCTGCGGTAGGAACTGAGCACCGCTGTTGTCTGGATTTTGCAAATGGACTTGATCACAGAGTTAAGTGGCCGGGCCCAAACCCAAGCACAAGACTGGGCCTCTGAACCATTTATTCTGCAAGTGGATTTCAAGAGGTTTCTGGAAAATGGAATTAAAAGATAAGTTTTTTTTGGTGCAAAAAAATTTGTGGTCCATGCATAGTTTTTTCATAGAACACATTTTCCCTGAACCTTTTGATTTTCCCTGAACCTTTCGAGGACCCCGTGTATTTTGTGCTGCGCCTGGGTCTCCTTTCCTGTTCTTAGGCTCCACATTCAGTGTCCTTAGAGCTCTAGCGAGGCTGCCTCTCCATCCGGGCCCTGCAGCAAACTTCCCTCTGTGTTCCTCTCTCCATTTCCCACCTCCTCTTCTACCTGGGAGCTCAGAGAGTCTCTCCTCAGCCTTGGCTCATACTGGGCCAAACAGTCGAACCGCGAAGATCCATAAAGTGTAGACCACACATTATCTACAGCTTCGACTCTGCAGACAGATCAGCGATGACAGAGCGTTGGAAAAAAGTGCTGACTTTTGCACAGGGTACAGGACGCAGTGGGGACCAAAGGAGTTATATTCCCCTACCAGAGCCATCCAGGCCTCTAACACCAACACGCACAGCACACGCGTGTGCACACACACACACACACACACAGAAAGCACTTCTGCCTACCGCCGTCCATTCTTCCCTTGTTTTTACCTTTGATAATTCCCAGAAATCTCTGAATTGCCAGATGAGAGCAGAGTAAGACATGGGGCCAGAATGACTGATGGAAGTTTTCAATAGCATAATCCACATTGACTGGAAAAAACAAAACTGTATGAATGGTTCAAAGTACAGTGAAATAAAAGTAAAGATGATACACGATCACCACTTAAAGTAACAAGCAGGGTTAACAGTTCCTCCAGAAATTTTTTTTTCAAAGATTTATTAATTTAGGAGGCAGAGTTACAGATGAGAGAGGGAAAGACAGAGAGCTCTTCTGTCAGTTGGTTCACTCCCTAGATGGCTGCAATGGCTGGAGCTGGGCTGATCTGAAGCCAGGTTCTAGGAGCTTCTTCTGGATCTCCCATGTGGGTTCAGGAGCCCAGTCAGCCAGCCCATCTTCCACTGCTCTCCCAAGCACACCAGCAGGGAGCTGGATGGGAAGTGGAACAGCCGGGACTCAAACCAGCGTCCATAGGGGATGCTGGCCCGCAGGTAGGAGCTTAACCTGCTGCACCACAGCACCGGCCCCTTCTCCCAGAATGGAGGTGTACGCAGGAACTGTTTTACACCCAAGTGGTCCTTGAGCTTTCCGTGCGGCATGTTCACTTCTCAGGTGGACGTTGTCTCTATTACCACATTAAGGTGGTAAAATACCGTGACATTGACATTCTGTATGCAGAGAACTTACTGATGACCATGGAACATGTTTATGATGTTCCTGTTCTATATGTCAGTATAGTGGACAGCGTACTAGTCGTTGCTGCCATTCTCATTTCCCCTTAACAAAAGTTCCTGAAAGTGGGAGTTCTGAAGGGGCCAGTGTTGGGGCATAGTGGGGAAAACTGCTGCCTGCGACACTGAGCCACGTGGGCACCGGTGTGTGTCCCAGCTGCTCTGCTTCCATCCAGCTGCCTGCTATTGCCCCTGGGAAAGCAGTGGAGGATGGCCCAAGTGCTTGGACCCCTGCACCCATGTGGGAGACCCAGAAGAAGCCCCTGGCTCTTGACATTGGCCTGGCTGTTGTGGCTCTTTGGGGAATAAACCAGCAGATGGAAGATTCTCTCTCTCACCCTCTCTCTCTTGCTCTCTTTTTGTCTCTTTCTGTCTCCTTCTTTCTCTCTAATTCTATCTTTCCAATAAGTACATACATCTTTAAAATTTTTTATTAATTTGAGAATGAGAGAGAAATGATGATGATGAGGGAGAAACAGGGAGCTTTTGGGGTTAGCACTGTGGCGCAGCAGGTTAAGCCACCACTTGCAGCACCGGCATCCCAAATGGATACTGGTTCAAGTCCCAGCTGCTGCACTTCTGATCCAGCTTCCTACTAATGTGCCTGGGAAGGGGCCGGCGCTGTGGCGCAGTGGGTTAACGCCCTAGTCTGAAGTGCCGGCATCCCATATGGGCGCTGGTTCAAGACCTGGCTGCTCCACTTCTGGAGCTCTCTGCTCTGGCCTGGGAAAGCTCCTGGCTCCTGGCTTCGGATTGGCACAGCTCCGGCTGTTACGGCCATCTGGGGAGTGATCCAGCGGATGGAAGACCTCTCTCTCTCTCTGCCTCTTCTCTGTGTAACTCTGACTTTCAAATAAATAAATCTTTAAAAAAAAATGTGCCTAAGAAGGCAGCGGAAAATGATGCCTGGCACCCACAGTGGAGACCCAGAAGAAGCTCCTGGCTTCGGACTGGCCCAGCTCCGGCCATTGGGGCCATTTGGGGAGTGAACCAGTGGATGGAATGTCTCTCTCTCTCTGTCTCTCTCTGTAACTCTTTCAAATAAGTAAATAAATCTTGGAAAGAAAGAAACCACTGTTTACTTATGTGCTGCCTTATTCCCCAAGTGCCTGCAGAGGCCAAGGCTGAGCTGGGCCCAAGCTGAGAGCCAGGAACTCAATGCGAGTCTCCCACATGGCAGGGAGCCGACTGTTGGAGCCATCACCTGCTGCCTCCCAGGCATTAGCAGGGCTGGGACTGAGAGCAGAACCGGGACTCACACCTGGATACTCCAGGTGGCGTGCAGGCGTGCAGGCATGCTAACTGCATCTGACTGCACCGCCTATCGGCCAAGTGCCCATCCGTAGTGTTTGCAGGACAGCAATAATGTGTGTTCCCGAAGAGCCCACCACAGAACATTGCCACCAGCAGTGTCGAGCCGTGATTGATAGGTCTGCTCCCTGTAAGCTTTTGTGTCATCTTAATATTTGCAAATCTTACGCATAAAAAAGCTCTTATTTTCACTAATATCTTTGATTACTAATAAAACACACACCCATATCTTTGCTATTTTGTATTGTTTAGAAAGAACTTTTATAGATAAGAAAAATATGGCAAGGATATTTATCTCATACTCTGAATAGTTTGTCCAGTTGTCTTTAAGATTTAAAAGTTGCAAGTTTCAGGTTGTTGAAGTTACTGATGTTTTC